AATACACTTGTATTTACTATATTTGTAGGAGCTTTATTCTTAATAAAGTACCTAAACTTTTATTAAGTTTTAAGCTTACACTTCTTATATTTTAATAATAATAGTTTTTCTATTAGTATTATTTTAGGTATACTTAATAATTTAATTATATATATTACTAATAAACTAATAAGTAGCGTCTTTTATAATATATTAGAATTAAGCGAACTCGTCTCTTTTTATTATAATACCTTACTTTATAAGAGTAATAACCTTCTAATATTTATCGTAAACCTTTTAGTAATAGCGTTAAATAATTAAAAGGTTATAACGGTTAAAGGCTTTAATGTACTAGGCTTATAAGCGTAAAGCTTTATAAGCTTAAATTAATTAAATATTTAAGCTAATAATATTATTATATACTATTATAAATTAATTAATTAATTTAGTATTTTAGGTTAAGTTAAAGGCTTCTCTTATAATTACCTTAAAGCTAAAAGGGTTATAAATAATTATTTAACTTAAATTAATAAATATTATAACTTTAAGGTAAAGCTTAGCTTAAGGTTCTATAGTAAAGTATTTTCCTTTATTTTATAAGAAGAATAATATAAAGGAAAAAAAATAATAATAACTCTTTTAATAATAATTTTTATAAGGCTTTCTTTAACCTTTTACTTATAAGAGAGAGACTAATAGTAAAAGGTTAAGAGATATTATAAAGTAAATTAAGTAATTATAAATAAAAGGCTTATCTTTAAGGGTATAAGATTATTTATAATAAGAGCTTAATAAAGAGCTTAAAGTAAAAGAGCTTAATTTAATAATAATCTTATAGAATATTAAAGGTTCTTAGTTCCTTTAAGCTAAAAGGTAAGAGAAGATTATCTTATATATATAAAAGAAACAGCTCGTGCCTAGTATACCTTATAGTTCTCGTAATCTCTTTGTGTAATAAAGGGCTTCTAATCCTTGCTTAACCTAATCCGTGTAACAGGTATCCATCTTGCCTATTAGGGTTTTCCCGCCTAGGCTAGATAGAAGGAGAACCAGGTACCAGTTATTAGCTACTAGCATAACTACTAGTGTGTTAAGGAAAATAAATGGCCGACCTCATAGTTTAAGGTTCCGGCCGTTTATCTCCCAGTGTCCAAGTCCAGATCAATTACGCACCTCGAGACCCCGCAGTTTCACCATCTGTCTTCGTATTAGGATTCTCACATAAGTCCCGCGGTCCTTGTGGGGTTCATCCGCAGATGAGGATCGGTTCTGATTCCGTCAAGTTATTGACACTACTCCTACACCTTGTCCTGCATAAGTAGCATTTGGCCGAGTCGTGGCACAGCCTGGCAAAATCCGCACATGTTCCCGGACGAAGATGGCGTTTTTAACGCTCTCTTGCGATACTAACCTCCGTACGCATTCCATCTACAGAAATGAGGCATGTATGAAGCGCCACGTATTCACATTCTTATAGAGTGAGGATCATGATGTGGATATCACAGCAGTCGTGGGATGCTGAACGAGGATACCACGTGCCAGAGAAGGAAATGCTAGCCATTATCGTCGGCCTCGATGATTCAAGATAGTCGGTAGACGACTCACCATACAGAGACCACAAAGGCATTATTCATTCAATGGCTCACTCGTCTGAGGTACATGGGAAGGTATCCCGGTGGGCGGATGCACTAGAACCGAACAGAGTACATCCACTGGCCAGACTCCGCCAAGATCATGAAGATTTCAGATGACATGTTACCACTCCAGACTCCAGACGACTTGAGATCCGACCCATACCACGTATGGATCTTTATCGAGAACACAAGTGGACAGTTTTCATTTACAAAAGACTCATCACCCAACTCACTTCACCCTCTAGCAGACGTATTGCCCTTATTCCCTGACTTTTCCCATTAACTCTTGTCCTTGTGCCCTGGCATTGAACATAGGGATACGACCTGCAGCAGAATATATTTGCCTACTCAGAGGTATATGCTAGTATACTGTAGTATATCATGATATAAAGCGTGATAGCCAGGTACCTGCTCTGGTTAAATACGTTTTGCCTCCCACTACAAGTGACACACCCAGTATGATTGGCTCACGGACAGGGAAGGATACATACCGCATTGGTAGAGAGAGTATGAATTTCTCTAGTTCTTGAGTCGAGCGGGGTACCGATTCTCGAAAGACTTGGACGCACCCTAGAGCTCGCGTCAGAATCAACCACGAAACGTCGGGGCGTTGAACACAAACTTGACTAAAGGGTTTGCTGTTAAGCGACAATTTATTCTTGCCCCAATGTAGCTTCCAAACGTTGGAAAAAGAAACCAGCAAAGCAGCCACGGGCTGGAAGATAGCCGTACGTTGTCCAGAAACATGGCGTATCCCATGGGAGGCATTCTCAACACCACGCAATTATAAGCTGTTTTACATCACATCCGGCTCATTCCAGGAGGGCAGCTTGGTCAATGCAAGTAGTGCGGATTCAGTGACATGCATCGCGACTTTACACGCAAGGCATTCCCACTGATAGAGAGGTAGGGGGTCCGACCAGGTATAAAAAGGGTGAAATTGGCAGGATTTTTGCTGCATGAAAACATCGATATAAAAATTCGTCATATTTAGCTCCCTTTCCGCTGTGCAATTTGCTCTTCGATGAAGCGGTAATTCCAACAATCTGGCAGCAACCTCCAATCCCTGGCCAGTCGGAGCGGCGAGATCGCCAAAGGTGGGATAAACCAGACAGACTACGATGAACAGCTCGACATTTTAAATCACCTCACAGCCACTGAAAGTCTTTGAATGAGGCTTTCCCGGACCTATGGAACAGACTTGACCGGAATGGGAGAGCCAAGAGGACGCTTGGAAGACTGAGACGCGTCCGTCTCATCACCGTCCGTGTCAGAAATAATTGTCGTCTCTCTCTATCCCTCAAAGCTGGAAACCGCGTGAATTAGGCACGCTTCCATAGATGTCCCGGGGAGGCGGGAAGGCACAGTCAGCGTCATGCCCTCTGATATGCAATTAGCATTAGTCCTTAAAAGCACCTAACCTGAAGCAGAAAAACATAAATTGATGCTTTATGGTTCTGAGCTAGCCCGGTCAGAGTCGAGACCAACTTGGATACGTCTCCCAAGCAACTTCATACGGCTATACAATCTCATTCTAGGCACCACCCTCAAGAGACGCTAAGACAAAGTCAGTCGGTTCCCAAGTAGCGCCACGGGCTTAGCGTCTAGAAGAAAACCACGTCGGTACATTACAGTGTAGAAGGATAGGGCGAAGTATAACACTTCGCGTTAAAATGGCTCCCAAACCAACTCTAATGTTAACTATGAAAGCTTCAGGAGTGGGCATCTATATCAAGGTTCCAACACCTGAACCAAGTTGCTCCTAAAATAGTAAAATACATAGCAAGATAAGCGAAGAATGTCGGAGGAGAAGGCCAGCAGATGGGACAATGCTGCGGTACACGTACTCGGTCCCGACGCACAATATCATGGCTTTCCCACACCAATATATTTTCTCCTTCGTTCTCTCCGGCAAAATGGACTCTTTATCTGCGAGCATCAGAAACGCCTTCTTGAAGGGTTGGTTTTCTTGGCACAGCATTCGTCTTTGCAACAACCTCCGAGATGAAGAAGCCAAGCTGCGGCTCCCGGTAGATATCGCTACAATCATGACCGAGGCACACAAAAAGTCACAGAGTGGCGAAATAGCCGCGATTGCTGGGTCCTGGGATGAAAAGTCTCTCATTTCTCTCATCTACGGCTCCAACGTGATTGAGACTGCTGGGCCCGCCGCCCAACGTTCGAATCACCACGTGACTTTGCCAGGACATGTTTTGCGGCAAGCCGGTAGAAGCTTATAATGACGCGCGAGACCCAGCCTACAAAGAGCACCTCGAGAACCTTGCCGAAACGCATCGAAAGAGCGATATAACCAACGTTATTCGATCCCGCAGAGAAATCATTGGCCACGAGAACGCTCTTCATTTCATAACTGACCACATTATTCTCAACAATGAGGCCTGATCTGAAGAGCTTATTCTCCAAACACACAGGATCCTCTACGAGGGGATTGACGACGACGTTGCACCGGGAAAGTATCGCGCCCACGAAGTGGCAGTTTGCTACAACAACCCTGGGGACAAGAAGAAGAAGAGAAGTATTTGCATGCGAGCAATGGTCGTTCCACGCTATATGAAGGAGATGATGGAAAAGCTGAACAACGACGTTTTTCAAGCATAGGTGTCTGGACAACGTGACCCATACACACTTGCCGCGCGCTACCATCACCAGTTCGTCATGATTCACCCGTTTGGGGATGGAAATGGCCGCATGTCGAGAATCATTCTCAATGCTCTTCTTCTCAAGTATGCCGGTCACGCTGCGCCCTTTGGAGGCGAGGGCAACGACAAGGACAACTACTTGGCGATTGTTCGCAGAGGCGGCGTTGTATTTCACCGGGAAGACATGGAGGTGGATTTCAGCGAACAGACGTCTCATTTTGAGTTTGCAGTTTGTGTTGACAAAGTCCAAGTCTTAGCTGGAGCAGATGTGGGCTTGGGCGAGTCCTGAACAGAGGGCTTAATTCCTGATCTAGGCAGTGAATGAACAAGTCATGGACGGCCCCTGCTACACAAGCGAGAAACAACGGGCTCCGTGACTGTGGTGTAACCAGCAATTTGATGGCGTCCAGGGACGAGTCTTCCCCCACTCTTCTACTTGTCACACTGAGATAAAGGTGCGACAAAAAGTACATTTGCACCACGTCAGCAAGCTGGGGGCAAGGGTGTGTTTGTACAGTGTAGAGCAGAATATACTTGTATGTATTTATATATTAAGAAACATAAACTAATATACTATAGCACATCTTTATATACTGAGTTGTATCACGGTATACTACCGTATATCCTGATATATGGTAGTACATTGTAGTCTAGGGAGAGATGGACCGGCACCTGGTCTGATTGAATACTTTTCGCAGCTGCTGCATGTGTGAGTGTGAGTGTGACTCGTCACACACGACAGGGGTTCTGTATAAGCTAGTGAAGGCCACCCCTACAGTATCAAGTTGGCATATCACACACAAGTGCTGGATGTGAAGAATCCAGTTGAACCTGACTTGGCACAGACCCCAGCACTGGGGTTTTGCGAGTAATGTCGGTGAGGTACGCCTCGGGCGATGTGCCTTGGTTGGCTGGCCCCAACACAAACCCCCTCTCGTCCGGGAGACGGCTAGGAAGAGGACATGTACGTCGGGAATAAGAATACAGCCCGGCCCCTGGGCGTCATTAGTTGCAAGATTCCACAGTGAACCAATATCACGACAAGAAGACGGAATGCATAGTAGCAGCTTGAGCTTTTTCTTTTCCCAAAAAACAGATCTATCTTGCAAGGACAAAGGTAAAATCGAATCCAAAATTGGTGTCCGGCGAAAATCACTACTGTTGAAGCCGCTCCGTTACAGGTACCCGGCTCGCGCCTGTCTCATACACGTACTGGCACAGCATTGTGTGCGGGGAAGACGGCAGCTGTTGAAGCCTCCCTTGAAGCGTAGAAGGTTGCCTGCAGCAGTGTTAGTGAGCCAGACCACCTGGCTTCGACTGAGAAAAGCTCGCGCCCTGTTGGCACTTACGCCGTCGCGATGCTTCGTCCCGACGCATGTGGCGGTTGCGTATACGAGCGTGGGGTGTCAGCAGAGCTGCCTGCTTCAACGGCCAACGAGGATGCGGACTGAGTAGGCATGATGAAACTTGGGATGTAATGGAGAGCGGTCTTGTGTGCGAGAGGAGTAGAGATGAATGCTGGGCAGGTGTAGATTGTACTGGAGAATGCGAATGCTGATGAAGTTCTGGGACGGGGGGGCGGCACGGATTTTATAGACCGGCGCCGCGACTTCCCACAGTACGGCCTGAAGACAATGACGGAGATGAATAGCTGGCAAAAAGGAATCGTCTGCAATGCACACTTTCATTCACGCCGACGCCTAACCGTGGGGAGTATTGCTTTTTCTTCCTGTCGTTGTCGTCCGAGGCCAGGGATGTGCTGGAGAGAAACTACCACGAAAAGCGACATGCTGCTAACAATAGACACGAGACGCACGAGACGCACGAGACATGGGAGCCAAGAGACGTTCTGACACTCTTGTCCACACACTGGCGTGCCTCAACAACATTGTCCGGACCGATTGTAGGAAATGTGCCCCATCAGCCTGGAAATAGCATCTGTCAGAAAGAAAGCCGGCACCGGGGGGGTAAAAGTGGTGTTGGTCGACAGAACTTGGCCTTTCCAACTAGCGGGCGTCGGGATTAGGATGTGGTTAGCATTGTCCTGTCGTGTTGTTCTATCAAGGCAGTTGTTTTTCTTGGACACGACAACGAGAGCTAGGGGGTCTGCGGAATGACAACGAAACGCCGACATGTTTAGCAAGTGGTACGTCCCGGGGGGGAACCGACGGAAGGGGGGTTAGAAAGACACAAAAGAGGCCAAGAAGAAGTATGTAATATTGTAACCACCTGTCACCGGCACCAGGACAGGGGCTGTTCGTTAGAGCAGGCAGGGATTGACCTTAGCCCCTGCCCGACCGGACTTACAACCCTTCCCAATCGAGAATTCAAAGTTGGCCAGGGGTGGCCAAATGCTATTCTACTGCCCCGGCCGGGGTAGAACTTGACAGCAAGCCCTGCAGGGGTGGAACCGTTGGTCACGCATCCTTTTTGGTTGTCCTACACTTCCAAAGCCGCGAGAAATGGTATCGTGATGTAGGGAGCAGATTAAGACTGTATTTGCGGCAGTCATTCTGCTGAATTCCTTTTTTTAGAAAAAAAAAATAATAGTAATAAAATCGCAGCATTCTATAAATGCTACGGCAATCGATACCGGATTTTCCCATAACCAACACGGCCTAATCGCTCTTTCTCGGCTTCTTTCCATGCCGACAACAATTTACACTATTTTTGGCGTCGATTTGACGAAAGGTATGCGGAAGAAAGATTGGGCCAACCAGATGACAACAAAGTCTGGCCATGAGAAAGAATAGCGTTGACTCAAGACCAAACAAAAGTGCGGGAGGGCCCGGGTACATCTTCCATGGCACAAAAAAACACAACAACGGCTCTGCAGAAGAACCCTGCATGGGTAGCTCATGCGGATACATGTCTTATGATGTAACGTCAGATTGGGGCGCAGAGTAGGATACGGCATAGGCTAGAATTGCCGATCGTAGTGCTATCTTGGTTCCGAGCGCCTTTTCTTTTTCTTGTTCCTTTTTGAAGGCTCGCTACATAAAGCCAAATGCGAGCCAATTACATGTGGCACGGAAGAGCACCCGATGCGATTCGAGCAAGTAGACGCAGACGCACTGCTGCTAGCCATCGGACACGACGAGCCGTCTTGGCTCCCAAGGGCGAGAGATTCAACGGCCCAGCGGCTAGGCATGGCAAAAGGCAGACCGACTGGCTTTCGGCCTCTTTGAACGTGTCCACGATGTGTCCTTGGGTGCGGGCGGAAGCTGATCCGACGGGTTCCCCGAGATCTTGGCCTCGCGGAAACGGCATGCAATGTGCGCTTTTCCTCCCTCTTGGTATGCTGACCTCGGGCTTAGTGATGAATCGCCGTCATGGCCATGTGCCGCGCGCACTGACCCCAGGCATTCATTCGTCCGGGAAGCGAGGAGCCCAGCGCGGATGCTTTCCGGTTCTGCTCTGGACGAAGATCACTGCGCCCAACACCTGCGGTCTTCCGGATCTTGCGGCACGTTGGTGTCGTGAGTTTGGGCCAACATCTCTCGTGTAGACTGGAGATGGCCCCGACTTGGCGAACAAAGGAAAGCGACAAAAGCGACAACGGTGAATGGATCCAAGATTGCGGGAGCGGGCCGTTCCCCACTTTCCCCACTGGGCCTAGACCGCTGCTGAATAAGCGAGAGCTTGGACCTGAACACCTGAACTTTGACGTCGTCTTGGCTGCGTTGAAAGAAATTCTCGACGAGTCGCCTGTTGAATATGCTTCCTATGACTGCAGGCAGAGAGAGGTTTTGGGTTTCTGGCGTAGCCTGCATGCATATGCACATAGGAGGTGGGGACCCAAATGTCTGTGGCTCCTAACCGAGCCAGCGACCAGCTCGCTGGGTTGTCCTGGTATGCATTGAGGGCGACGTGTCAGAGCGACCGCACCAGACGAGGTAGGTAATCTTGGCGTCAGAAAAAAGCATGTGTTGGAAAGAAAAAAACTACAGTCTCCCGTCCTGGCGTACAGAACATGGACACCAGCCATGTTGGAGCTCGGGTGGAGCTGTATCAAAAAGATAGACGCCACTGCTGTTGTGACACAACCGTCACAGAGCCAGGATCTGCTTCCGATGTGCTAAAATACTCTGTGTTGCCCAGGGCGTAGTACCAAGTAGGGTCATGCCATAATCATGGCGATGTGATGCAATGCAAGTCAAACAAAAGCCCTAGGCGATCAACAGGCGTGGTGTGATGCATCTGCCGCGATCTCCCTCCCGCGGATACCATCGGGGCCGATCCGGTTTGTCGACCGGGCAAGCCAAGATAATCGACGCCATCTCGCAGTAAACAGTCAGATTTGAGTATTTCTGCGCACCGATCCTGTTCCTCGGGTTGATGCGCAGCCGCCGCAGCTCACAAACATGTCATATGTCGCAAGAAAGCCCTGCGTGCCAGCAACCGCCAGACACAGGGTTGACTCACACCAGGCCTGACGGTCGATCCGCACAATTTCCTTGTGGGTGAAATTTTTACATTTTTAGACCATGTGCTCAGTGTGAAACCAGTGACGCGTTCCGTGACGGAACATGGCCCACGGTGCTTAGGGCTATCCTACAACCCGGGGGGGGACTTGAAGGATTTCTGCCCTGGCTTGCATTCGGTAGGCGAAAGAAACAATGGCAGCAGCGTCAATGTATGTCTGGAAGATGTCTGCCCCTTTCGCATTTGCACAGCCCGCCCGCGGCACGTCATGAGGTCCAGACTCCAAAGTGCCCTACGAAATCACCCGATAGATTATTGCCAGATTGAAAAACATCAAAGGGCGAAATTCTGCCGCCGCGGTCGATGCCCAATGAGGAACTGGAAATAGTCGGAACCACGTCACGGAGACATTTTGTCTGCGGTAGCGAGGGCAATAAACGAGATTTTGCTTGCGGCGCGCACACCCACCATCCACCCCCAATCCTGCTCGTTCAGTGATCTTCTCTTCCTCGAGGGCCAGCCGGCGCAATAGTCCCGCCGGAGCCAAATTTGGCAGCTAGGCTATTGTATCAGCACCACGATTGACCTGTGTGTATTTTTAGGAGCGTTTGTAAGCTCTTTCCATGGTATCCTGGGCGGTAATTGGTCAACTTGCAGCAGCCTGGGAAGCTTCTCATGCAACATGCCATTGTCTTCGAGGCAACTAAAAAGGCGGCCGGAGGCATTTTCTGACATCCATAGGCAATAACACGTCTTGGCCTAGGTGCTGGAAGCCCGGGGCTGGATGGCATTTGTCAGGATGTCTAGGCTGCCGCGGATTTTTGAGCTGTTTAGATGCTATGTAGCACTCGACACGCTGGGGAT